CACACACACACACACACACACACACACACACACACACACATTTTTATATTATATAATTTTATGACTTACGTTTCCTATAATTAACTTAAGCAATTTTTAGCTTGCATAAAAATTCACAATTCAATCATGATTTCTGAGGGAGGAAAGATCTTTTCCCATCCAGGAAAGGAATTGTCAAAATTGATCGTATCTTTCTGTATCATTAGTGTATGGGAAATGAGCTGTGATATGTGAATAAACAGTAATATATTCTTAAAATGAGCAGTAATATTTCATCTACAACAATTTGCATTATGAAGTGGAAATATTGGTAAGACGTGTTTGATGTTTTAATAAATGTCAGCAGGGAATCTTCGAAATGGACCTGCGACGAGTCCTCTGAATAATTCAGACAACGTAACGACGCCTACCTTTAATTCGACTCCATCGCCAACATTGGAACAAAGCCCACCGTCGGCTCCTGCACCACCTCCGCCGCCACCACCCCCGTGTCCGCCGCCGCCTCCCATGGCGTCTCTTTCTCCAGGAGATCAAAAATTACCACCACCTGCACCTATACCACCACCACCTGCCGGCATGATGCAAGCACCGGATGGAGCAATGACTATTAAACGAAAGGTGCGTGCACGGCTTAAAATAATACTTAATATGTCGGTAATTTCACGTTCGAGTTGTTCGAAAATCACGCATACGAGTTCATCAGAAAGAAAAGGTATCAGCAGAGACACAGTAACCTTGATGAACCTAATAAAGATGTCTTGAACATATAAAACTGAGTGAAATTTATATCTCACTAATTATATTGTAGAAATGCCTCCAGGAACTATTAAATCAGTTGTTTACTATAGACATGGTGTTCCATCTAAAACAGGCCAATTATTTATTTTCTATTCCTCCACTATAACAGAATGACTTTCAAATGACTTTGAGCTCTAAAATTTTTTATTGAATATAAAACTCATTTTTAACGAGATTTCGGCTTTCAAAAACTGTTGTAGCGTTACAATTAGAAAAGATAATTGGATGGCCTGTTTTAAATAACCTTGTATATGCAAGTGTTTTGTTAAAATACTAATATAGATATATAAATCCTAATTTAGAACAGAAAAATTAAAGTTGAAATTTTAGCAGATTTCATGTATAACGAAAGAAAATAGTTCCATCTCAATTTTTTCACATGTTTAAGTGTTGCTGGAAACTTTTTAAATTGAACTTAGTTTATTTGAAAAAGGTAGATCTTACCTTGTTTTCATACAAGTGTATTCCTTTGGCTATGTTTTATAAAACAATTTGCATTAACATAGTGTATCGCCGATTATTCAATATATGATTCATATAGCTACAAAATATTAGTAGTTAGAGAATTCATAATTCATATAGCCATAAAATATTAGAAGTTGAAAAATTATTGATGTACTGAATGTAAGTAATAAATACTTAGCTTGTACTCCAAAATTGAAGAAATCTTGAATTACGGTTACTGAAGTGTCTTTTATTTTACGACCTTGAGATAAGTATGTATTTCGATTTTATCCCTGCTTCATTTCTCCATGTTCTTTCCCATTGTAGGTTCAAACAAAGTACAAACTTCCCACGCTCAACTGGATTGCCCTAAAGCCTAATCAAGTTCGAGGCACCATCTTTAACGAATTAGATGACGACCGATTGCATAATTACATAGACTTCTCTGATTTTGAAGAACGATTCAAAATTGGAATGGGTGGTCACATAGCTAACGGTACGAACGAAATCGATGGACTTCACAGTTTCCCTAGTAAACGATTCAAGAAACCAGAAAATGTATCTTTGTTAGAGCACACTAGATTACGAAATATTGGTATGTACACTTAAAATTGTAATGATTTCTATTTTAAATGAGATACCTTGTATTTTCATTATTTTTATTTTGTATCTTTCCAGCTATATCGCGAAGAAAAATGGAAATGCCGGTAGAAAAAGTTATTTCAGCCGTGAATGCTCTTGATTTGAAAGTGCTCTCGCTGGAAAATGTGGAGTTGCTGCAACGTATGGTGCCTACTGATCAAGAAGTATGCTTTACTCTATTTTAATCATATTATAGTCTTCCTGACATCATCAATTTGATTTCATCTAATACTGAAATGAATAAATTAAAATGTTGATTGTAGTACTTATTCTATCTAAACAAACATATTTTTGCGAACTGTGTTACCAAACCTTTGTGTTGAAATTTCATAATGAGCTAAATAAGTCTTTTGAGCTGTTAGTATTTAAATAGTAATTAAATATAAGTAATTAAATACAATAATAAATTTAGTAATTAAATATAATAATAATTAAAGACATAATTTGAGAGAGAGATACTTAAAAGTTGTATTATGTTACAGATCAAAGCATATAGGGAGTATATCATAGAAAAGAAGAACGTAAATCTTCTAACAGAAGAAGACAAGTTTTTAATGCAACTGGGTAAAGTGGAAAGGATATCAACCAAGCTGTCCATTATGAATTATATTGGAAACTTTTTTGACAATTTACACCTCATTACTCCTCAAATATATGCTGTGATATCCGCCTCAAGCTCAGTCAAGAGCTCCAAGAAACTTAGAGCAGTATTAGAAATAATTCTTGCTTTCGGGAACTACTTAAATAGTAGCAAGCGAGGACCGGCTTATGGATTTAAACTGCAAAGCTTAGATACATTGCTCGACACGAAATCGACAGATAAGAGAATGTGTCTCTTACATTATATTGTAGCTACCATACGAGTCAAGTTTCCAGAACTTATTAATTTCGAATCTGAACTTATGTATATCGATAAAGCTGCAACAGGTACGTCTTCTGATGTTTCATTATTAATGCTTCTTAATAATTTAGGTTACCATTACATTAATTTTGATATAAAGGCAACAAATTTTAATGTATGGCGGATGTCCATCTGAGAGTAAAACTCTCGACAGTTGCTCTACTACAGTCTTATATACAGGAGTATGTTATCAATTAAGTGTTAAAGGATTTTACTTCTTTTCTACTTTGAACTATCAAAACTTTGTTAATATCATAGATATAATATCTATTAAAAAATATGCATTTCGTGTCTCTTTTTTAATATTCTATGATGTCATTTTATTTTTCTGATTTCAGTTTCACTAGAAAATATAACTACAGACGTCCATGAGTTAGAAAAGGGTATGGATCTTGTAAAGAAAGAATTTGAACTTCGTGGTAAAGAGAAACATAATACGGTACTGCGAGATTTCTTAAATAACTCTGAGGAAAAGTTACGTCGATTAAAATCAGATGCTCGAACTGCTGGTGACGCGTTTCGAGAATGCGTTGAATTCTTCGGAGAAAGTCCGAGACAAGTTGACGCTAATACATTCTTCTCCCTTCTTGTTAGATTCGCGAGGGCATTTAAGGTAAACTACTGTTATATTGTCTTAGTGCATTCCATCCTAACCGTTATTTTCAATGTAGAAAAACTAAATCAATAACACGGAATTGTTTATCTTATACACAGAAAAGAATCTTATAATATAATCTGTATTTATAAAATAGATTTATTATTTACAAAATCTTTTTGATTTATAATAACGTAAATTGTAACTTTTAATGTTTATCAAAGTAATATTAACTACTACAAATTCCGTGGCCTTATGAGCAATGAAAAATGCTTCAGACATAAATCTGAAAACATAATAATACATCGTTCTTATCTCATATCATTGTACGAAATATTTCGTACAAAGAAAGCAGTCCGAAAACCAGATGTTCAAGGAAAATAAGTATAATTTTAGTGACAATTGTATTTTTTGTGATACATTTAAATCGTGTTATAATTTCTATATAAATTAATTTAGGAAATTTGAAAAAATGTGGGTCAAAAGACTTTCGATGTACTTTAAGCTTAACAATTTATTTATAAAATACACCTCATTAAAGCGTACTAATGGATCATTATCATAATAAATTAGAGGGAAAGGTAATACAAAGTAAAGCATTGTTACAGGCTGCGGATCAAGAAAATGAACAACGTCGTAGGTTGGAAGCTGCTGCTGCGGAAGCTTTGCATACCTCGGAAGAAGTCGTTAAACGAAATAAATTAAATCAAAAGAAACAGCAGGTATATTTTATTTGTTATATCGCCCTTTTTCTTTATTTTGAGATAAACGAAATCATAATCGTTTATCTTTTTTTCTGATTATAATATTTTGCATGTCGTGCATTCAATATTTTATATTTAAAACAAATTTATTTTCGTATTATTAACAAATACCCTATTACAATATACAAATGATTATTATGTAGTTGCATCTGATACGTGTCGTCTATATTTTTTCACTGAGCTTATTAACTTTTTTTCTATAACTTTATGGTTTTGAAATTATTAAATGCTTCACTTCGTACTTTTGTGATATGTATATATCTTTATACGCTAAAAACTATGCTTATTGCATCAAACTAATTTTTCAACTGTTCATTGAACTTTCATTTACACTCTTTAATTTATTTCAACCACTCTTCATACAATTGTACATCTACATACAAACACTTATAAATATTGCCTTCCTGTCGCTCACTCTCTTTCTCTCTCTTTCTCTCTCTCAACATCAATGCTATGAACTTCTTATTTATATTTATTTGTGAATTAATTCCTAATTAAAATTTTCAATTTTAATTGTGCACTAAAATAATAATAATAATGTGTGTAACACATGATAAAGAAACGTTGAACTACTTGGACTAAATAATAGTATTATAGTAAAATAGAGGAAGCATCAATCAGATCTTAATTTTTAACGTGAATAAACTTTTCTAATCAATTTATTATGTAGTATACAAATATACAATACACAAGAATAATATATAGCAAAGACGATTCTTTGCTATTTCTTATCACTT